GAAGCGAAACCAAAATCGGGACCCGCACGGCTCGGCACGCTTAAAGCGAGCTACCCGCTGCAGTGGAAACGCGCCATTAGTCTCCTCTTCATTAATATATGATATTTTACTCTGTTTAGGAGTTCTAACCTTTGGTCTTTGATGTTTAAAGGTGGGGTAGGTAAGTTTGAGAAACCGGCTTGAGATACACTTTTTGTTGTATTCCATGGAATGATCTTAACATCCCGATAGCAATGAATATCTTAAGTGCTTTGACAATAAATCCATAAAAAAAATGTAATCTGTGGAAGCCGTAGTACTGTAAAAAGCACGACCAATCATTTTAGCCGGCCGGCTAAAGTAACTGGATAGCCTACCTGCCTGTCAGCCTTCCATCTGTGCACAAACTTATCTCGTGCCCTCATTGGTCATGTGCGCGTTTGTGTGTGTTGGAGGAGGGGCTCTGTAAGGAAGTGGCAGATTTTTTCCGGCTGTGTATTTTCAAATTCTAGCGCACTGGAGCTGGTTTCTCCAAAATTACCTACCCCACCTTTAAGTAGATATTTTATGTTTGAGTTCAAACTGGTCCGGATGGCCTTGATTGTATACGTTACATGTTCTTGTGTTGCTTTATGTTTTCGTGAGCCGAAGAAAATTTTACAATTGGGTGGACAATAAAGTTGCATTGCATTACATTTCTCCTATGACTGAGCTGTCAGCAAATGAGTTGCATTATGGGTAATGTAGGAGCCTGTTTTTGCCAAGGATGGATGAAATAAAAAAAGATAATATATCTGTACCTGTGTTGTTGTTTTCTTTAGCATCTACCAGACACCAACATTGTTTTAAGAATACGATAGTAAATTGTTACTTAAATTGAGACTGGTGTCACACATACTGATCCCAAGATGAACAACTAACTATCATGATAAGAAGAGCTACGTTGAAGCATTTCTGTGTCGTGCTATTGGAAAAAGAAGGCCTTAAAAAGACATTCTGCTCAAAAAAAGTAATGACACTTGATGACAGCATGCAATAAAACATGTGTCTTGACCATTCAAGAAAAACTCTACAAGAACTTGATTAAGACAGCTACGCATCGCTGGGGGCGTGTGTGTGTGTGTGTGTGTGTGTGTGTGTGTGTGTGTGTGTGTGTGTGTGTGTGTGTGTGTGTGTGTGTGTGTGTGTGTGTGTGTGTGTGATCCTGAGCAATTACACCCCATTAATATATGGCCAACAGTGTTGTGGCCCCATGCTCTGCAGCTTGCTTATTTGTTTTGTTTGTATTTGTCTGTCTTTGTGTTTCTGCAGCGAGCCGTAGCAGCTGCCTGGCGACAGCCAATCAGAGCAGGCAGAGAGGGCAGTCAGCAAATGCAAAACTTCAGATATACCTGCTTCATTTGATTATCAAATCAGAGCTTTGGGAGCAAACTACAGTCAGAAAAGCAGCAAGAGAGACGGGACCACTGTGGATATAATGTCCATCATCCTCCAAAGACGAGAATTTTAACCTCAATTAAATACATTCAACAGTCAACTTCAGTAAGTGACCATGACCCTATAGATGATCTATATTATGAGCAGTTTTATTAGCAGTACATCTTCATTTGACTAAGTTTAAGTTTTAATTTACTAGAAAGCAGGCATCCTATATTGAGATACATGATTCTCTAAAAAGATAATTAATCTTCTTTTTCTAGGCCGTATTTACAGATTTGACATTCTTCAGGTCATCATCACAGAACATAGAAGCTGAGAACTAAGCAAGAGAGTAAGATCTGAGTCAGGATGCTGGTTGGTGATTGTTCTCCATGTTGTTATAACACACTACATGGTAGACAATTAGTAGCCTTTATTTAACCTGTGTGACAGGAAATAATGAGAAATATTATGTGATTTCACGCCGCATAGAAGATGCATGTGCTCATACTCACAAACAAGATGAAAACAACTGGCCCTGAAAACTTCTGTTTTATTTTGCATTGGTTAAAACAAGGCCTGAGTAAATAAGGGAAAACTTCACCAAATAGCTCATTCAGTCAGATGACATCCCATCATCAACAGTAAGTGTGTCTCTTTATATCCCCCAATATGAACTGACAAACAATCCAAGTAAAAACTGTTGGTGATTCTCTTCAAATAATCTGATAATAATTTGACAAATTAATCTGTTATTGCCAAGAAGACTGACTATAATTATTTTCTAAATCCCTTTTATGTGCATTTTTTAACTGATCATCAAAGCATAGATGCACGACAAATGCTTCTTTTGCCATATTTTATACAAACATCTTGCATTTGATTAGGATTATATTCTCGTAAATAAATAGAGCTTGATTTAATTAATTGTCCTTTTACTTGAAGTCATTATAAAGAACATTGAGCACTCCACAGCACATGGCAGATCTCCTCCAGATACAGAGTGGCTGTTACACTGCTCTGCTGTTTACAGCTGCAGAGCGCCTGGAGGACTGCCAGCCTCATTCTCAGGCCCATTAACTCTTCTACAGCCTGCTCAGTGTGAGAGGGAAGTTGATATTAAATAGAAACGTGATCCTGGAAGTAGTGCAGAGGTAATGTGAGAAGAAGAATCAACATGGACGGAAGAATACAAGGTGTTGGAGTGTGAGGCTGCAGGATAGAATGCTTTGATTGGTCTTCATGGTGAGTTCACTTACCTTGAGGTCACGGTGGACCACGCCCGTCTGGTGGCAGTGGAGCACAGCCTCTAGGATCTGCTGAATGCAATGACTGCATGCAGACAGCAGGAGGCAGGGTTAGTGACAGCTCCCTCCCTGTCTGTGGTTAGGGGCTCTGACACTCAGGGCCCCTGGCCGTGTTAGCATGACACTGTGCAACAGTGTGGAAACGTACTCACCCAGCAGCCATACTGAGGGACAATTTAGCTAATTGTACCATTTAATCAAAGTTTCTGATGTTTTTTGTATGTGTTGCCAAGGTCTCCAATTGATGTTTGCTGCGATGACCAAGAAATAAAAACACGGCTGGAACGTGGTCACAGTCTGCTGCTGGGACAACACGGCAAAGTCTCCCTGAGTCTCAGAGCAGAAGTGTGGTAAGCCCCCGGCCGACTGGAGGCTGAGCCTGAGAGACGGGGGAGGAGGACATGGTGACTCTGTTACGTGTTCTTGGTTAGAAGCCAAACGTTTTGAAGAGTTTGTAGGTGTTTCTCCCTTATTCTGTCAAAACAACAAATTGGAAATGACTGAAACTAGTTTGATGCCATTGTGTTCAGTTCACTCGTACCAGGAAACAAATACATATTAGTTATCTGTGCACAAAAATATTAGTTTCTTTATAGCTCCAGGATAACTAAGTTATGTATGTTTTTTATAATGCTTGATATAATAATCACTACTAAAGTGATCTAATGGGGACCATTAATACTATAAGAAAAGTTAGACTTATTTGAATCACAATTTCAAAATTGACAAGGATAATTCTTATTCCTCTCAAATTGCCCTAGGGCAGCGTTTCTCAAAATATGGGGCCCGCCCCAGTGGTGGGGCGCAGAGTTGTGATAGGTGGGTCGCGATTGGACGCGATGAACAGGAGATACTTTTTAAATGTTTTTATAAATGTTTTGGACCTCAGGCCGGAATCAAACCTTGGACCTCGCGGGCAGTAGTGGACTGTTACAGCCGGAGACTCGCAACAGCGGTGGACTTTCACAGCGCCGCTGCGCCGGAGCCTCGCAACGGCGGGTGTTTGCGGTGGGGGATGCGTTATGCAGCGTCCACACGGCAGCGTGCGTTGAAGCTTGCCGGTGGGCGTGTATGGAGCGCGACCAAAAACCAATCAAATGAATCTCCCTTCCCGGACACACCAGCACGCAGTTTGATTGGCTAGAGCTTGTACTGGCATATGATTTGATTGGCTGACCCTTCCGTCGAAACTTGAAAAGTTTACCTTTTCTCAACTTTCGAAGCGAGCAACGGAGGCAACGTGACGCCACGGAACCACAATTCAGTTTGGCAAAGCCTGACGTCACCCCATTGAAAAGTGAATGGGAAGCTGCGTTGAAGCTTCAACGCACGCTACCGTGTGGACGGGCCGTTACTGGCGCAGCGGCACTGTGAAAGACCACGGCTCACCTATGCCAGAGCCAGCAGCCCACCAACGACAGCGGCCCACCGGGAAAAGTCCCGAATCTCCAGATGGCCAATCCGAACATTACATGTTACTTGTTAGACGCTTTTATCCAAAGCGACTTACATACTCAATACTGTGGGCAATCCCCACAGGAGCAATTTGGGGTGAAGTGTCTCAGGGACACAACGACATGCTGACTGCACCTACGGACAACCCACTACGCCACACCCCTCCCAAACCTGCTCACACACACACACAAAACACTCTCATACACACATGTGATTTCAGTATGTTGTGTGAGAGTGTTTCACATGTGGGGCCGGGGCGGATCTACCGGGGTGGCAACTGCCACCCTAAAAGTAGCCTTGCCACCCCAGCTGGCAGCTTTGTTTTGAAAGAAAAGTTGTGGCTCATTGGGCATTTATGAGAGAAAATCTCTAATGTCCGAGTGCAAGTGAATGCAGCACAAGACGCGAGTCTTGTAACTAGGGATGGGTACCGAGCCCCGGTATTAAACGGGCCCCGGGGCTGAATTATTAAAGACTGTGGTACTGTTAAGCTCCGACGTTATTGGTCTTTTTATCGTTACTGGAGACATATAAAAAATATATGTCATATGTATTATTGCTTCACAAACATTATATTGCAGTTTTAGTGTCGCCAACTCCGTTTCTAATACGCAAAAAGACTGCAAAATGCGTCTATGACTATATTTTTTTTAATTTTAAATCTTTCCAATCCAGACGAGAGATCTCTCTCCCCCGCCTGCTTGCGAGGGGGCGGGGCAGTTTACACACACGCAGCTGCTACATGCATGCAACACACACACACACAGAGGAGATGGCGGAGAGAACGCACTCCGAGGTGTGGTTAAACTTTACCCGTCTCGATGTGGACAATGCTCGTGACCAATAGTGCAATAAGATTTTAGCCTGTAAGGGCGGTAACACGAGCAATTTGTCGAAACATTTAGCAAAAGTGCACCACATTCAGACGGAGGAATGCACCGGGTTCGACTGTCTTTCTAGTAGCTCTGTAGCCCCATCCACGAGTAACTTTTCCACGTCAGGTATTATGTATGATTAAATCAGCATATACTTCTGCCAGGGGATGCCACCCCTCAAAATCTCCTACCACCCTCCTGCCACCCATGAATATTTTTCTAGATCCGCCCCTGGACTATATAAACGGTATTTATGAATAATGTTCCTAACGGTGGTTGTTATTATTGACTGATGTAATTTTTTATAAGAACTTGATGTTATTTAAATACATTTGACAATTTTAAGCTTGGCCTTTTTTCTATATTTTTGGAACTCAGCCTATTTGAGGCAAGGGTTGACACCATTGCACTTTTATTTTCTCTATTTCTGAAGTGTTATTTGTTATTGATTTTCTCTGTTTTTGAACTGATGTTATTTGTTATAGATATATTTTTATATTGTTATTGAACGATACATTTGAAAATTTGACAAAAAAGTTTGGCCAACCATTTTATTGGAGCGATGAGGGACAGGTGGGGCTTGAAAAGGCCCATCTGTTCAAAGTGGGGAATGACAGAAAGAGTTTGAGAACCACTGCCCTAGGGTGAGTTACATCCTCTGTTAAATATCCAATGTTATAGTTGATGTTCATTACATAGGTTGTGGTGCAAACTGACAGTGGAGGGTTTGATGTTGAAACACACTACAGATTTTATATAATAAAACCTGCAGAACTAGAAAAATCTAAAGTCCAAATTTGGAATTCAAATTGTCACAGGTGTTTGTCACCCATAGGTGTTTGTCACCCACCCTTCGCCCCTCAGGTGGAGCCTCTCAGTGGTTGTGTCAGAGCATGGCGTTTGACAGATGTTACATGCACTTCGTGCCCTGGCATACCGCCTCCTCTCCAGCCAACCTGCCCACAATGCCCTGCAGCGGGTGGATTTTAGGTGTGTGAGGGTGACTGGTGGAGGGGGGAAGTGGGTTGGGAGGAGGCGGCACTCAGTGAAGGTTAATTGGTTGATTGATCAGACAGTGGAGGAGCAGGCAAGGTGCCGCAGGAGGGCAGAACTTTTCTTTTAGCTATTACTGTGGTCACTTACTAACCTTAAGGTCCCTGTGCACTATGCCATTTACGTGGCAATGATTTACACTTTCTAGAATCTGCTGTATGCAGTGACTGTGGAGGAGAGAGACCAGGCCAGAAGCAAGAAGGAGAGGAAGAGGGAGAACAGGTAAATGTCAGGAAACAAAGGAACAGGCTGACAGAACACACCAAACACACAAAATAGCTTATTGACAAAGGATACATTTTAAAGGAATAGTTCAACATTATCAAAATAAAAGATTTGCTTTCCTTCAAAAGATAGATAATAATTGTTTTTATGTTTTCCTGGTGGAGTCAGGATGCAGTTAGCCTGGATTAGCATAGACTGAACACAGGGAGAAACAGCTGGCCTGGCTTGTTAGGTACTGCAGCATCTCCAGAGTCAATAAACACAAGTATAGATTCTTCTAATAAAGAAATGTTTCCTAAAACAAAAGAAAAGTAAAAATCACCACTTGATTAGTGAGAGTTTCAAAAGATGTTGGTGGTCGATTTGAACTCTATACAAAGCCAGGGTGCTGTTCTCCCGTCTTTCCAGTCTTTGTGCTTAGCTAGGCTAACCACATCAGTATTTAACACATGTCGCTCTTGGAAAGAAAGCACATAGTTTAACTGTTTCTTTAAGCAATTTAAATAGACAAGTAATGACAAATACATATGATACATGCCCATTGTTTAAGCAACTTCAGAGGTCATCTTTAAATGAACTTTTACAAACCAATCAAATCCACATCAAAACAGAATCCAGATCCTTTCATATTAAGCTTTTGTTTGTTTAAATTAACAGTTGTCTAATAAAGCTGCAAAACAGTTTGTAACTCTTGATGAGGTTTTTCTTATTATTAATATTTTTCAAAACTGAACCTTTGTAACCGAAGTCAGTCATTTAAAAGAAGCTTCGTTATCATTGCTAATGTATCTGCCTATCTCATGTCTTATTCCCATGTGAAGCCCCTAACATTATGGAGACAGTCGTCTCAAATCATTTATTTTCAACATATAACAACAACTGCTTCTATTCTAACAGCCTAATGCTTTAAAGGTAATGCTGTAAAGCTGCTTTACTGAACCAAAACAGACATGGTTCTTTTTGAGTGGTTTCATAGGAGGAGAAATTGGGGGAAATAGATCCATAATCAAAAAACTGAGGTAAAACTTGAAATGTATAAAGACAGTTTTTGGCTCTCAAAGGCATATCAAAGGCTGCACCACAGAAACATTTGTAAACTGCATAATTAGCAAGGTTTATTGTTTAAAATGCGTGGATCCAAAAGATATGTAATATGCTATTTAAAGATTTGCATGGATATAGTTGTATTAACTGCTATATAGTGCATATCTCCTTGAATATGCATTTGGTGCCAAAATAGACTAAAAGGGTTTCACACCACATTTCTAAAATAAATTCAGAAATATCAAAACTGACAAGACACAGACCTGGCATCGGCCTCGCTGTAGTACTCTCTGGCAACTATGTCCTCAAACAACTCTCCACCGGTGACTCTGAATGGAGGGGAAACAAAGAGACAGACAAAACTAGAATAAGACAGCAGGAAAGAAAAAACATTAGGCGCATTCACACCGCAGTACTTTTCCCACAAAGGTGCATGAGAACTTAGTTCATGAGAACTTAGTAGAAGCTGCTGGGAGTCCCAGCAGCTTCTACTGAAGCCTTCCGAGTAAATCGCCAGAACGCCGACACCTCCTCATCTCCACCGCTCCCGTGTTTTATTTTGTGTTGCCAATCCGCCCAGCCAATCAGAAATATAGCTATTTTCTCACAAGAGAGCCGCATGAGAGTCCCTGCTCTCTAGCAGGGACGGAAAAGGGAGTAAAAAGGTTCTCATGAACTAATTTTAGTTCCGGCTCTTTTTGGTGTGAACGCGACATTTCGGAACTATATCGGAACTAAAGTGGGAAAAGTACTCCGGTGTGAACGTGGCTAATGTCTGGAAATGACGTTAATTGCAAAACCACAGATGCTAATGTCTGCGTCTGGAGGGTGTGCAGGATGATGTTGCTGGGTAACAAATCTCTCCAGAAGCTATTCTTTTCCATACCAACTGAAAATAAATATGTTGTGCTTTTCGCGCCCCAATGTTGAAATCCTGGTCGTACTGTATGTGGATAACGTTCATTCAGCTGGAAGAAGTTCAGTGTGTTTCCATGAGGTCATAGACAGAAGCCAGAGAGAGGATTCTGTGCAATGCCAATTGCAATCAAGGTGCAGAAAAAAATGTACATAAAATAATGACAAGTTACTTCCGAAGGTTTCAATTCAAAGGTACAAAAGATAAGCCCATAGCACAATGTATGTTAATATGATGAAGGGTAAAGGGAAACTGCCAGTTTTAAACTTCAAGACTACGTTACATGCTGGCGCTTTGATCCAAAGTGACTCTCATACTTCAATATCGTATGACATGCCTATAGCAATTTTATGGTCAAGTATCTTACCCACCCAAGGACACTTTGTCGGGATGACTGCAGAAGCTGAGGATCGAACCACTGACATTCTGCTGGCTAGATTTCCCCTTCGCCTCTTCTGTCCTTAGTGAGGTTATCTCTTTTGTTGAATTCTACCATATTTATTGGTATTTATTAAACCCATGTTACACTGTTATTCTACCCATATTACACCCAAGCAACAACAATATTACCCCCATATAACAAATGCATCCCCCAGGATACAGAAACCATTGAAGGTTTTGTATTTTGTTTCTTTTAGTTTCTCTAACCATACTAACCATGTTAGTCAGTTTTCTAAAACATGGACAATGACTTGAAATATATTTTAAAGCTAAACATTTCCGTGACCTGTGGAAAACATGAACACTCTCCAAAGGTTTCTATAAATGTTTCATGAAAATATGAATTAATTATGTGTATTGTTTGTAAGAATGTGTGCAGTCCGTGAGTTATATTGTTTGCCCTTATTAGTGGAGTGCTGTGCCACAGCATTCCACTATAGTTCTTCGAATCTTTATTCTTCTTATTTCAACCAATACTTTGGTTCTCAATAACTTCAGCATACTTTCAGCTACAGAAACCATTGAAATATCAAACTATCACCACACACACACACACGACACACAGCACACACCACCACGACACAACACACGAACGACACACACACACACACGACCACACACACACGACCACACACAACGCACACACACACACACGACACACACCACACACACACACACACCAGGCGACACGACTCCCTAGAACTTCGCCAAGGGATGGTAACTCCAGGTACATTTTTTTTTTTGTTCGACTTATTTAAAAGATTTTTCGATATTTTATAAAAACCGTTTTTCACCGTTTCAAAGAGTAACTAAACACCGACTTGTC